CGTAGGCGAATCCCTTGCCGACGCGCGTCTCTTGGTCTCGTACCACACGCACGCTTTCAACTTGTCCGGCTTTGCTGAATGCTCGCCACAGACCTTCTTCTGCATCGGCGGGCTCTTTAGCCGTCGGCCGTCGTCTCTTCTGAGGATCTTCCTCGTTGTCGGGTGGGGGTGCCTCTTCGTTGACAAAGCTCAAGTTCCCGATAAACACGCATCGCTTGTGGTCAATCGCCGAGGGTTTAGCCAGGTAATCGACTCTCAAGTGGCGGTCAAGCACAACGGTTCCGTTAAGCTTCTTCGCCACATACTCCGCAGCAATGTCGGTGGTGAAGACTGCATAAGCGTTTGTGCTGACGGTGGTCGCGTCCATGAGTTCCTTCTTGGCATATGTAGCTTTCTTTGGGCCCTGTCCAGACGCGTAGGCGGTGGATCGGAACCGGACCGACTCGAGTTTTCCAGGCCTCTTTCCATCAACTGGTGTCTTCAATACAGAGCGTAGATGTCTGGTCAGTTCTCTTTTTGCCGACTTGGATTTGATAGCTTGAGTGGATACATTCCCCAAGAACACGGTTCTGTTGAATTTGTCTTGGTCCTTGAGCTTCTTGTCAAAGACCTCATGTTTCGGGGTCACTTCGATCTCAGAGGGTTCGCTCAGTGAATCCTCGTCAGAGTCGGAAGAGGATGCGTCGCCTTCGCTCGAGCTTTCTTCGGCGTCATCGTCGCCCGTTTGGACTGGTTCTCTCTTGCGGTTTTCCCTGTCCTCTTCCAACTCTAGCCGCTTGAAATATGTTTGCTCGAGATCATCATCGTCGGTGGCACGCTTGCGTTTACGAGGCTTCTCGACTGTGACTGTAGCTTCCTGCTCCGACGTCGACGATTCGTCATCAGAGGACTCGTCTGAGGCTTCCAAGTGGTTGTTGCCGTCACTGTTTTCGGGGGACTCGGAGTCAGAGGAGGATGTCCCCTCTTCTTCTGGCCTCGGCGGTCTTTGCGCAGAAGCAGTTTGCGCTAAGCTCGAAACTCTGGGCTGTACCTTGACTGGTCCCGACTAATACGAGTATGTTAGCCTCACTCCAGGGCTGTTGATCGTGCGTCTTACACTTGAAGCAAATAGGGAAGCGAGGGTAGGATCGACTGCTTCCTCTTTAGCTGCCAATTTGCTTGTACCTGTGGTTGAAGGTGAGGCTTGCGCCTTAGCCTTGTGTTTCTCTGACTTTGCCATGTTTACGGATCCGTCACGTCAAGTCAATTGCTCAGTTCGGGCATTTCTCTCGAGACTGCACGGTGGTCGCAGAATCTCTTGCGGTCTAATCGAAGCCACAAAAATTTCTCAGGCAAGGCAATCGAAAATGGAGATAAATCGAAGTGCAGTAACACTAACTCCGACGCTAGCCGATTGCGCCTGATTCGTGCCTATGACATCGCCCACCCAATGTCCCGAGCCCCATGATTCAAGGGCAGGCCAGCCACGGCAGCCAAACCGCCCGCACCCAGACTTTTACTCCCCTTGTGTGTCCCTTGTTACCAACGTATCCATGCCAGCCATGCCTATGTAACTTTTGGGGGCTACGCTGCGTTTCTCCACCGACGCCAACACGCCTGTTGTTCCCTGCATTTTGTAACCTGCGACTTTGCCAGACTCCCATTTGTACCCTCTTCAGTATACCAGCTCTTTTTGTCTTATATCGATAGACGACGTCGGCATTGATCGTCCCAATTGTGTTTCTCTCCTGCAGGTTCTCCCTGAAGGCTACAGAAGCCCATGCCCCGCTGGCAATTCTCCTCTGACAGTTCCTCACACCATCCCACTTTCGCCCACCTGAAGTGTTCGACTGTTGCTTGAAGTCATAAAAGCTTGCCAGTGCTCTCACAGCCCTCGTCCCATCCAGAAGATTGAGATCTGTCAAAGCCACCACCCAACCAAGAAGCCCTCGGACCCGGTGACCGTTGCGCCCATGCTGCTGCTGAGAACGAGCGCGAGAGAAGAGAAGATAACCACCATGCTATTGTGACTGCGAGTCGTTCACCAATATATTGTATGTCAATAACCTGCGAGTATATGCATTTCTGGCATTATGATCGACGCGCAGTTCTTCTGTTCGCGCTGACCATAGATACCTACCCTAGGCGACCTCAATCCACGATTTCTCCAGCTCTAGAATACCCCGTTGACCGATCCCGAGCGCCTGTCATCCTCTCCAAACGATCTAGGTCCTACAGAAGTCCTGGTTGTTACAGCCATGGACTCAGCGGCGGACTCACTCCTGGCTCTCTCCAATACTGCCGTTGCCTACGCAGCCAAGGACACACCCCTCTCCGATGATGATCGTTCCAGCAGCCTCAGCGAGTTGGACGATGACCTCGAAGATGGTGAAGAAGAAGACATCGAAGCTGCCGTCGCAGCCGATGTGGATTCTGAAGCCGAGACTGAACGTCTCCAGGCTACCCCAGAAAATCTCGCCAGGAAAAAGCCCCCTGAGATCAGCCCAAGCAAACTATCCCAGAGACAAGACATTGACATGCGACCGGAGATCGAGAGCTTCACAGAAAGTCCCGTCTCGTCCCCGATCTCTTCCCATCACGAGTCAGATCATGAGGAAGGCCTCAGTGAGGGGCATGATGCAGATGAAGAAGCCCCGGAGGTAGCTGCAGTTGACACTGCGGCTTCCCCGAACAAGCGCAAAAGGGAAGAAAGTGAATCAGATGTCGAAGAGGCCCCCAGATCACAGAGACGACGGACAGGCTCCGTCGAGACAGAGGATGAAAAGTCTGAACCAGAGACCGATGCCGAGGAGAATGACAGCCATCATTTACGGGAAAATACAATTGAACCCGAAGTCGGGGAGCCGCAAGAGCACGACGAAGAGGAAGTAGTGGAGCCAGATGAATTACCGAAAGAAGCTGAAAAGGCAGATAGCAGTGAAGATTCTAAGGATAAAGGCAAAAGCAGGCCCCGCAGGAAGGCAAAAGACCCAGTCATCCAGGAACTACAACATGAAGACGAAGAGGACGCTGCACATGCGGAAGATTCAGAAGTCGCTGATGATAATGATCTCGAGGCTGCACTAAAGAGCGAAGAGGAGCAATCAAAGCGTATGGCAGCCATGGAAGCCCTGACTGCACTCGAGAGGCACTTTGCGACATTGAGAGACCGCCTCTATGATGAAAGAATTGCCGCCCTAAATCATGAACTGCAGCTCTTGTCGGAACCCAAGCCAGCACATCCTGAATTGATTCGCCAGGTGGAAGTGGTGCAGAAATATCGGGACGAGAAATATGAGATCGAGCAAAAGCTGCTGGTCTACAAGATCGGAGCCCTGAAGAACAAGGCTGTCGCTGAACGGAGTCAGATACACAGCCAATATTTTCAAACAGTCAGGGATATCCGAGAGAGACATCTGGAACGCCTCAGCGAGCATTTCTACCGGATCCAGCGAGACAGATTCAAAGCCGATTCGTCAGTACCAAGTTTCAGTATACCCTTTCCAGAACGGAGGTCGCAGCAGATCTTGCAACAAACAGCCTACAATAAAGAGGTTTCAATTCTGGCAGGTGTCGCCAAATATGTTGGCTTTCCTGCTGCACCAGAGCTGGCGCCATCCAGGCAGAAAGAAATAGAGGATGACATTCAGAAGATGGGAGTACGTATACCTGGTACCATTCTATAACTTTAGCAGACTAACATTGCCTAGATCTCGCAGAGTCATATCCGGGCTGGCAGACCCAATCAACGGCCGGCGGCTCAGACACAGATATCTGGACCCCAAGCAGAAGAGCAGTTTCTCGAACAGACGCCGTGGGCTAATCCTCAACATCCCATCCATCGATTAAGTCGACAGAATTCCAATCGCTCCCCAATGAGCGAATTCCTGACGCCAGCGAACCAGCAGCGAAACACGATCGACGGTCTTCAACCTCCAAGTGGGTCGGCATCTACCATCGTTGACCCTTCAGCTTCCGCACCGGTGTCTTCAGCAATGAACACACCTCACGACGGGCAGAGTAGCGCGACGAAGGTTGAGGCGCAAGCTGCTGGAGGGTCCTCTGGTCTACAGAATTATCGCATGCACTCGACGAGCCCTCTAGATATGCGGCGGCAACCCGTTCAAGCCGACAGCTCCGACCCGCAACGTCAGCAAGGGAGGGACAAGGATGTCATCGGTCGTGGACGGGACATGGGTTCTTCGCCCTTGACCTCCCGGGCCTATCTTAACACGACGGGGCCACGAGCCCCAGCCATCACCGCCGGAACTGGGAGGTTTAGCATTCGGTAATATTCAATCATGATAAAGGGGAATGTGAGTGACGATACACTGGCTGGCTGGCAACTTATGAAATGAAGGGTGAAGGGAACCACCTAGAAAGATTCGCGGGCCCAAGACTACGGCAGGCTCTCGACTCTGACGTTTTGCATCTGGATACACTTTCCACTGGGGGTTTGTTTTTTTTATTGAACTCAGCACCTTTGATATCCTTGTCCCAGACCGCCAATGTTATGCATTGAGTTGCGAAGATTCTCGTGTCGCCAGCAACTGCTTCTCAATGCTTCCGTCCGTGTGGACGCTCGACCCTGTCTCGAGCCAGCAACAAGTCTAGCATAGGCCATATTTCACATGTCCCGTCCTCCATACACCCCATATGGCCAACAGTCTGTTCATCCCTCTGAGGGGATCCGTCGGGTGTGGCACTCGTGTTTGCACAGAGTCGTCGTAGTAACAACGAAGTATATACAAGTCCAACTCGTAGGCTTATCCGTCCGACCAGGCCAAATCACATGCCATTCATGGCCGAGTAGCCCTCGGCATGAGGAAGCTCTGTTGGTACTTCTTCTTCCACTCGGGTTCCGGTTCATACTCAGCACCTTGTTGATAGGCGCTTGAAGCGAACCCACAGCTTATTCCTCCTCTTCCGCTGCTTGGTTATGCGGCTGGCGCCCGCACTCTTCGTCCTCCCTCGCAATATCGCTGTGGTATTTCGTGCACGATTTCAAGGGCCAGGTGTGGCTATGAGCGCATCCCGTTTGCCTGTGCGGTAGGGGTCTTCGGCGACTGATTCTGATTTTGCGGTGATTTTGCGGCTTCTGTGGACGAGTTCGGCGCAACGACTTGCGTGTCTGACGGGACGATGACGTCGTCAAAGGTCTCTTGGCCCACAGCTTTGAGAGTGAATGCAACTGTTTCACGAAAAGAGATGCGCAAATAATAGTTGTCAGCTAGGGAAAAGCTCTCTAATAGGGATTGGGACACCTTCGTCCTGAGCTCCAGTGGGCGGTTACAACACTGATATTGCTCAGCCAACAGCATGCGGTTCGACGGGACGGCCAAGTAGAGTGCAAAAAGATGTCACGTACAAACTCCAATGGCAAAGCCGAAGATCGCTATGCCTGTGATAGTGTTCTTGACTAGGTACGGCCGGCGGGCTCGTATCAAGGCAGCCCCGCTGCGGTAGTCAGAGTTGTAGTAGGAGGAGCGCTTGAGGCTGATCTCGTAAGTATCTTTCTAGAGAAGAATGGACAACAGCAGGAGAGCGACAGACGGGCAATGAGCAGGAGAGGGGGATCAATGCGGGAAGTCAAGGACCAAACGCATTTGCGGAGTAGGACATTAGTGCTGAAGATGGGGATGCTGTGCGAGGAAAGAGGTCCAAACACTTACATGCCGGCTCGCAGAGGAAGCGAGGAGTGCATTTTTGCGATTCACTTCTGAGATGCTGCTGAGACGCTTGACGAGGATAAAATACAGTGGTGCAAAGTTCGTCTCGAGAAGAGGGCAGTTCCGCTCTGTACAAGCATACCTTGGGTGGAGAGACTAATATGCGGTAATGGCTCTTTGATTAACCGTAGAGGGTCCGGCGGATCATTGAGCGGAACATAATCAAGCCTCAGCCTTGGACAGCCAGACAACCTCGTCCGAACAAGCAGAAAACATCCTCTTCGATTCCAATACTACGTAATGAGCAGCAGCGCTTTAAAATGCTAGATCGCTGAATATACTTCCCATACATATAACTTATGAAACTGCACATCGAGATGTTACATGATGAACGCTGAAAGAAGACTGCATCTCGGCAAAAGCCTGGTATCGTTGAAGACGTTTGCGTTGGGCTTAGGATGAGAACCCATCGCGAATTTCCAAGAAACGCTGGTATCGGTTCCTTGTCCAGCGACGAGAAGTTTTGCCCCAAATCATCATGGGCACAGTTGTCATGATGAAAACAAATGCCAATACCCCTATTGCAACAAACGTGTTCCGAACACCGCTCGCCTCGATCCAGTCCGAAGCTGTGAAGGTGAAGACGAGTGCGATTGAGTTGTTGATCGTTGCGACGCCCACCATGCCCTCCAAGACCATGTCCGGATAGGCGTCCATCAGATAGGCCATGCTTAGATCACCACAACAGCCCCATCCAAAGCCGATGAACCCCAGGCCAACATACGGCGCAGGCCAGGACCATCCGTAGCTGGTCCCAATTCCAAACAGCCACAGGCCAGTCGGGAAGATGGCCGCACACGGATACATGAGCCATAGTCGATGTTCTGCTTCGCTGACACCTCCGTTTCTCCTGGCCATCCATAGCATGAACTGGTCACTGAGCCATCCACCATATGTGGCTCCAATGACGGCGCCAATCAAACAGGGCACGTTCATCAACTTGGGGAAGTTAGCAAAAGCGCGATACTCTCATGGGAACACCAGTAGACTCACCCCATCAGCGGCATCGCTGTAGTTCCACGGTGGACCATACCAGTTGTCTTCCTCGACGGTCAGATAAAAAGTGAGCCAGGCGTCTTGGGCTCCCCACTGCAACCCAGAGTATATAACCGCAGGGAACGTAAAGATGCGCAGAGTGTGGAAGAGACGCTGGAAATATTGCTTGAAGCCAAATCCGCGTAGATTCGGCGCGGGAGTAATAATGGCAATGCGTCGCCAATATGGCTTGGGGCGGTCCTCGGCCGCAAGTCGCTCTTCTGCAACAGAAGCGTGACGACCAGACACCGCTGGAGGCTCGGGTTGTCCAGCAACTTTCTCCTTCTCCGGTTGTTCCGCCTCCAAACCTGCGGAATTGTCGCTACCAGCTCTGTTAACACCATCGATCAAATATCTGTCTCCATCATTGATCAAATACCGATCGCGGTGGAATGCCGTCTCCTCCAAACCAAAGAGAAGCACGAAAAAGGTACCCCCAGAGATGATGGCTCCAAAATATCCAATCCAGCGCCAATCAAGGCTGCTGTCTGCAATGTAGCTCGCAATCAGAGGTCCCAAGTATGTACCAATACTGGTCGCCAGCACGTAAATACCGAGGATTGAACCGCGCTGATGTTGAAACCACAGATCCATCAGTGACAACTGAACCGTCGCTTCAGCCACAGACTCGGATGCGCCCACAAAGAGCTGATTCCAGACAGCATCGCTTGTCGACTGCCCTCTCGCGAACCAAATACTACCGATGAAACCCAGCGTCATGCCAACCAAGTATAGAATGCGACGACCGTACAGGTAGACGGCGGGAGAGGAAAGCAATGTCCAGTACCCAATACCGCAGAACAGGACGCCGGCGCCGGTATTGAACGAGCCATAGCTGATACCCAGCTCCAGATTCTCATTGTATTGAGCGGCGCCCGCGTCGTTGGAAGTGGCCGCCGTCAAAGCCGTGACGTAGCAAACGAGCAAGCTGTGCCATATTTTCCGAGGTAAAGACCAATGGAGAGGGTCGTTGGGCGAGTCAGTGGGCTGAGGAACCAGGACAATGTCCCCGTGCCTCTTCAGTGATACATCCCCAGGATAGAGTGGCTTTCCTTCAGCGTCAAAAATGCGGCGTGTGCCGGGAAGTTCTTCAGTATACTCCATGCGGCCTCACTCTTGAACGGAGCCAACGAAAATTGACACTACGAAGGGGAAAACACCGCAGGAGGAGCTTGGGGGGGGGGAGAAGGAGGTTTTATGAACTAAGTGAGAGGCGCCGCCATATCGTTACAGCGACGAGCAAAGATCAGATCCCTTATCGTGATGGTGTGTGCCCTAAGAAACGCCATCCTCGTCCTCCATCGAGTGTGGGCAAGGGTTCGTCTCGTCCACACAAGGACGATACCACCACCCCCGCAAAGAGGCGGGAGGGCCAGTCGCCGGTGATCAAAGCTTATCAGTGGCAAGACGGCGAGTAAGCGTATACCAGAAGACGGACCGCAAATGAGAATGGTCTTAGGCAGGGGTTATCAGGGCCCCAAGACTGAATTCGAAGGAGCTTCTACTCGTGTCAAATTGCGTTCTACCAAGTACAATTGCGGGTTAAACTCAAGAATAAGCAGAGCGCAACACAAGGGCGGATGGCTGGGGAAGGCCCCGATAGAGCTTGAACAAATCTTGATTTTTTTTAGTGACGCCCATGCGCCCTTTGGCCTAGGATGCCAGGGTAAGCCCCTAGTCCGAGGCCCGGGCCCCATAACAATAGGCGAGGATCATTGTCCTGTGGGCTTGTCCGATAAGCAAGTCCTCACCCAGCGTCACCTGGGCTCTAATCCTGGGACCTTTACTCGGTGACCCCTCCTAAAATTCCAGCATCATTGGCGGGATACCCCCATGCCACGGCTACGATTCCCTAAAAATCTCTAGTTGGCTGGCCACCATTTTTTAGGTCCCCACGTTCCATCCCTTGCTTGCGTCTCCCTACATCATCATATTCGCCTTTCGACCTCGTCCTCCTTTCCCTTCCTTCTTCGCTTCACCTATCATCCTGCTCACTTTTTCCGTATCGGCTCAGACGCAGCCTCGTTGCCCAGTGCAGACCCCCCGTCGACATCGTCGCTAACATTGCACGTAACTGAATGTCGACTTGCCAACTCAGAATGGCTCAACATTTCCACATCGCTCAGATTACCGCCCATAAACCAAAGGAGTCCAGTAGTCCTTCGACCATCCTGCAACTCGCTCATCGGCTTCTCCCTTCACCTGCCGCTGTCAATGAGTTGGAGGATGGTCTAAACCCGGAAGGACCTGAACATGCAGTTCAGGACGTTGTGAGTCAAGAGAAACGAGGAACATCTGCACAAGATGGAACACCCGCCCCGAAGAAAGTGATCGTAGTCGGTGCCGGCATCGCCGGTCTTCGTGCTGCCTCTGTCTTGCGAACCCATGGTGTCCAAGTCGTGGTCCTCGAAGCCCGTCCTGATCGGATCGGCGGACGCATTTACACGAGTAGGAAGGCTGGGCACGCTCCAAGAGACATTGGTAAATATTACCAACAGGCAATACTGACAATCGCCGTAGGCGTTTGACATGATGTCGTTAAGAGCGCTCATTGTTGGGCCACGACCATTGTGGGGTTGTTTCCCCCTGTCGTCCACTTCTACTCACACTTGTTTCTAGGTGCCGCCTGGATGCACGAAACCGCCAACAACAAACTCGTCCGCCTCATCGGCCAGCTCAGTATTGAGCATTATTATGATGACGGCACCCCCCTCTACTATACCAGAGACGGTCGTCTCGGCTCCCAGTTCAAGGCCAAAAAGGTGGCCGACGAATTCGCCGACTTCTGTGCCTGGTACTACGAGGAAAATCCCGACGCTGAAGACAAACCTGCCCTGACCTTCATCAGGGAATGGCTAAGCGATCATCCCCTAGTCAGTGAGGATGAACGCCTCTGGGCGCCCCAAGCTGCTCGTGAGGTGGAAGCTTGGATCGGTACCAGCCTCGAACAAGCGTCTTCTAAGCATCTTGCCTACTTTGCAACCGAAAGGAATCTTTACATGAAAGGAGGTTACGATACCATCATCGATTGGACAGCTTCTAATCTCCGTGATCCGGGAATCATTCGACTCGGACACCAGGTCACGAAGATTGATTGGAATGACGACAACACACAGAGTCCATGCGTGGTCCATGCCACCACCCCGGATGGCGGTCTCACTCCTTTTACCGCCGATGCTGTCGTGTGCACCCTTCCACTTGGCGTTCTGAAACATGAACTTGTGGATTTCAACCCAACGTTACCAAGGCAACTGTCACTTGGAATTGAAAAACTCGGCTACGGAGCACTCGGCAAGATATTTGTCGAGTTCGAATCGGTCTTTTGGCCCAAAGACAATGATCAATTCATCTACTACCCTGAGCCAACGACCGACGCCTTCGACGAGGATTCCATCTTCTCCTACATGACTGTTACGAGCAATAACTGGATCATGAGCGGTACTAAAGAGCTGTCCGTCCAGATTGTTGAGCCTTTAACTCAGCGAATCGAAGCCATGACTTCAGAGACTGAAATCTATGCCTTTTTCGAACCACTCTTCAAGCTTTTCCGCACCGAGCCTTACAAAAAGCTGCCTCCAGTTGTGAATCTGGAAACGACACACTGGACTCAGGATCCCTTTGCTGGCTTCGGTACATATACTGCCGACAAAACCGGAGATGACCCGGAAATTTGGTTCAACGCAGTAGAGAACAACAAGGAAAGCAAGCTGCAGTTTGCCGGCGAGCACTGCACGCGGACTGGAAATGGATGTGTGCATGGTGCATTTGCCACTGGTGAAACTGCTGCCGTCAACATTCTGACGTCGCTGGGAATCCCATACAATGGTGGGGATCTTTACAGCAGACGTCCATCGAGGAGGAAGTCACCATCCGGACACTGAGCGGGCGGATATCTCAATCCACCGCCAGAGGAATCTGGGGAGGTGGCGGCTCTCCTAGT